CACATGGCACAGCAGCCTCTGCTTGTATAGCCCTGTCCTTATAGTTAAAATCTACACATTTCTTGAGCCTGAAGTCCTTCATTAAAATCTAAGTTTTAAATGCCACTGCCCAAAAAAACCCAAACTGTAACACCCCAGGCAGTGGATAACCAGTGAAGCAGAAAAAAGGGGTTATTATATTTAAAAACTGAAACGGTGTTCCAACTGTAGGATTATTTAAGTCACACAAAGGAGGTAGGCCATGCATCCCCATAAGGAGTCCAATATCCAGATCTATGGTCCAAGTACTGCCATCAAGACCTAGCTGCTCTTCAGATAATCCCCTTCACTTGTGAGGCAAGTGGGTTTAGCTCCATTTCCCTATTTGAAAGGATAGAGAAAGCTATTATTTTACTACTCCAAAGCAGGAGCAAAGAAAGTGAATGGTATTACTTGAGCTGTCCATATGCCCATATGTGACTAAAGACAAGTACATAGCACAGAAAATACATCTTGAAATTAAATCACATATGCAGCTTGTCCACATGACAACATTTCTTGTAAACTTGTGAAGTCACATACCACACAAGCATGGATGCTCCTATTAAGGAGAGGAGTGTGTGCCCACATGGCAGTGAAGAGCTTGACCCTTAAGCTCCTCCATGCTACAGGGCTTACTCAAGACGAGATGGCATTTAATCATCTTCAGGAAAGAGGAAGAAAGTTTGAGAGTTACAACCTACTTGTGACTGAGTTTGATAAAATAATTCCATTCAAAAGGGTTTTTTTGAGTCTGACCTGATTTTTCCCCAAGTTTCACACTCTTTTAACAAACAGCTGAGGTTGAAGCTCATGTTACCAGTGTTCAGGAGTTTGTTTTTTGAAGACTATTTTTCAGTAGCATTCTTCATCTCCAAAATTGGGTAGGTCTTTAAAAATAAACTTCATAGGAATATAGTGAAGAGGAAATAGTGCAGAAGCACAGAAATAGACTCAGGATTCCAATAACAAACTATAAATCATTCATTTTCATCACAGATTTACTTGCAGCAACATTTCTGCTTATATTAAAAGGGTTCAGAACATTTAGGGACAGGTTCATTCCTCTAACCTGAAAGCATTTTAACTTGCTCCCAAAACAAGGAATCACAGAAGACCATGCTGTAAGTCATCTCTTTTGGCTTAGACAGATTGCAATGCTATCTTACTGTACCTGACAAAGGATGAGTGAAGCTGTCCAAGTTCCTTGTGAACTTAAGGCAGATCGCAAAAAAAAAGTCAAAGACAGCAAGAAGAAAGAGTTGAAATGGGGTAGGGAGGGAGTGTAAAAAAAGGTTGAAGAATACTATGGCTAAAACCAAATTAAGTGATAAAGGAACACACACTGCATCTGCAGGCACTATAGGCTTGCTCCAGCCCAGTAAATTAGCTTGATGCCAGGATTTTTTGGTTGGAATTAATACAGTTTAGATTACTTAGCTAGCCTTTGAAATGCATTTAATGCTTACTGTAATCAGTATATTCAGTCACACCCATCATGTGGCTCCAAAAAAGTAAATATAATTACACAAGAGAATAACTTCGAAAAGCATATAGTCCACATTTGGTACAGTACAGATATATTGGTCGTGGTGAAGAAATATATAATATCAATGAACACATCTGAATCATTCGATCATAATGATAGGAGTTGCCTTTGATTCAAGACAACTAGAAAAGTGATTTTGATTGAAAAGAAAAAAAACAACCCACCACCAAGAATTCTAATTAGCATGAGTAATAGATGAACTGATTCAATATAGGAACCCCATTTCAATTCTATGGTCAGGAACTGCTAAAAGACGTACCTCTCAAAAAAAGGACTTCTAATTATGTGCAATTTATTTTACCAAATTTTACTATTAACGTGCCTAATTTCTAATACCATCAAACAGAAGAATCTCCATGTTCTATAGCTAATCCAGTTTCATAGCCTTGTTCCCTCCTAGAACCCCTCTAGGACAATCCCATCATGTTACTTGAGGAAAAAAAAAAAGTAAATTAAAAAATAAAATAAAGTTAAATGAATAAAACCACCCAGTGAATAATGCAGAAACAACAGCCCATAAAATAAAACCCTTATTTACAAGTATAATATTGCCTTGTTTTCCTTAACAGCCTCAACTGCTCTGTAATTTTCTTGTTTTCAGAGGACCTATGCAGATGGGACCTCAACTGCAAAAAGCCAGCACAGACACCTGTACGCCACTTCAAGGCTGGTAAAAGTAAAGGGCTAACAGGCATAAGAGAGGGATCTCCCTCTTCAACTAGTAGAAGATCCAAAGCAGGTTGCAAATGGTGAGATACGCGCCAGAAAGAACTGTGAGGTTTAGGTATTCAGGCATCTTCTTTCCCAATTAACAGACACTTCCTCCCTGGGCTAAGTGAAAATTTTTAATTTTGGGAGACTGGCAAATTTCCTAGTATAGGCAAACTCTGTTTGAAAAGAAGTTTAAAATATAACTTTTCCTTGAGCTCTGGCAATTGTATTGCTATCAACAGAACTTCTAGCACAATGGTGGCAACGTAGTACAGACTTTTTTTAAACATTAACTGGGTTAAGAAATCAAAGCCTATCATTTAGCTATGGAGAAAAAAATGTGTAGTCTTTATGTTAAGAAACAATGCTTACAGATTACATACTACAGTCAGGCAATTGTCCGGCATTCTTTGTGCACCACAAATTTACAAGGAAGCCAAGATTCCATTATCTCTAGTACATCAGCACTGACTAGACAGTATACATGCAGAAAAAAAATAATCATAAGGAATAAAGAAATAAAAATATAATAATAATAAAGAATAAGGAAAATTCTATATTAGTAAGCAAAATAAAGCAAGAATGGTATTACATGTCAGGTTGGAAAGCAAAGTATAACAGCCATGTTAGCTTCTAGAGAATCAGAACAGCAATACTAGTTTCTGTTCTGCCCAACAGGAGATCAGAAGTCATCCTCTAGACATAGAAAGAAATGCACAATCGTTAAGGCTTTATAACAGTCACCTTGTCCTAGAAGAGCAAAGCCTCAAGTCCTAGTATAGGCACAACTAGGGAAAAAGCAATGAAAAAACTAACAGCTCAAGGTACAATCAACATTACTCACTCACATACTCATAACGTTAATGTAAAACCCTTTGAAAAAGAAGAGTGCTCCCTTGAGTGGTTTCAAAGTCCCCAAACCTATAAGCACACTACCATATTTATCACAGTGGTATTAATGAAGCAGTGGAACAGAAGTGTTCAAATCTCATTTTATCTAGCCTTCGAGTTGTGTGTTCTGTTGCTGCTGTTGTTAAATAATAAAACAAAAACCCACAAAAACCATAACAGAGAAAAAAAAAAGGAGAAAAAGTAGTTTCTCCAAAATTTGTATAAATGGCTAAGCATGATACATCACTGACTTAGAGCAATTCTGCCCATGAATCAAAGTTTCATTAAGCTACCTGCAAAAACTACTATTTTTCCCTTTGTTTTAAATCAAATCTTATAAATAAACCTAGGATTAAACTGCTCTTATGTAATTTATTTTCCTATGAACGTAAATAAAACCTATCACCAAAAGCGGTGTTTATTAACACTCCTCAGGAGCGGCCAAGATACTATGCTAACCTTCATGCTGCACAATCAAGAAGCTTAGTATAAGCTAATAGCACTAATGCGTCAATGTACAAGGTGAACTCATACTACTATAAACATATTTTTGTTCCTCTTCCTTACTAGTAACAAATGGAGTGATAAATAAACTCTTCAGGAGCACATCTCCTTTTAAGCAGAAATGAGAGCTAACAAAACACAACGAGGAGACTGAAAACAGTATCTACAGTAGGACAGCAAAGAAGAGGAACAAAAATGTGGTTGTACAGCAACTGAGCAGTGATAGAAAATGGAAGGGGTGGGAAGGCAGAAATGAGAAGATGAATAGGGAAGGAGACAAACGAGATGTGAAAAGAGACAGAAGACAAAATTAACAAGAGTTAGTCTAAAACAGCACTTCTTAAATCATGGCTCAGCCAAAGGAAATTACAAAGTCACCCTGACAGGAAGAATAAATTACAACTGTCACCGTCTTCACTTCTTGAGTGGTGTTACCAAGAGTCAGTCATGGCTGGGAATTACTGTCGTACCACATGTTTGGTACAGGTGCCATAATGACTTTGTTAGCTATGTGTGCAATGAATAGATGCAGCAGAGAGTAAGCATATGGGAATGCAAAAAGGAAGGAAAGGGTACCACTGGTGAGCTCAACTGGAAATGAGATTGAGCTTTTATTAGTTGGTCCACAGACTAAGAGAGATACCACACAAATCACACTTAATCCAAAGCACTATGAAAGCAGGAAAGCATTTTGTTAATAAGAGCCTCAAAAACTTTTCAGGGATTGAGGTGAACTCCTGTGCAAATATATACAAATCACATAAAAATTATATCTATGGTAGACACAAAAGTTCCATCCAGCACTCCTCAATTATTCCTGAAATTGTAACTGATAAAGAAAGCAAATTCTAGGTGGGCAACACGTGCAATGCAAGGAGAACTGTGATGTCTAAGAAAGTGCTCCAATGTACAACTGCAATGTTGTAGCTTATTTTAATTCATTAAAGACACTGGATAACACGCTGCCCTTATAATCTGTAATATCTTGGTCTGTATAATCAGTCCATTCAGAATCAATGTGCAAAAGGCAACAGTTTCCTCAAGATACTCATCATAACTGACCTTTACCAAAAGGACCTTTACAAACATAGAAGAGACTGCAGGGACATAACCTCCTCCTCTCCCCTGAGTTTATTCAACAAAGCAAGGAAGAATTAAATCATGTTTTACAGATTTTTATAATTGAATATAATGTAGCATTAGCCTTCCATTAGGCTGACTTACATAGCATCATTAGCTCAGAAGGAACCTGAGAGGAAGTTAAAAGCCTGTTTTTACTGGGAAACACTACCAAAAAGATAGAAAATGTTTGAAGTTGAAAACATACCGTGAGTGTCTCTTCTGTACTTCTTTTTCTTTGTACTGGAGCAACTGGAAATTCAAGAAGGGACTTTACTGTCTTCCTTTTGGCTTTTTCCATTTGAATGTTAGTAAAATAATTGACAGCAGCAAACTCAATAAGAGCAGAGAACACAAAGGCAAAGCAAACCGCTATGAACCAGTCCATGGCAGTAGCATAGGATACTTTTGGCAGTGAATGTCTTGCACTGATGCTCAGTGTCGTCATTGTCAACACTGTGGTTATTCCTTCAAAGAAATAAAGCAAAAGCACCGCTGAATCAAAGTAAAACAAAGCAAGCACCTTAAAACAAAGAATTTTAAATCACTTGTGAGCCTTTCTCTACTGCTTGTGAATACTGCCATTACATTTAAGTTGTGGATATGGCAACCACCATATCCACAAGCAACTATGCACACAAAACGGTTAACTAGTTTTTAAAGGAGGCATGGAAAACCATCACTTCAGCAGATCATCTACAGTTCACATAAAGAAAACATGGAAGCCTTTATTTCATTTTTTTTTCATGTCAAGTTCAGTAGAAGTTTTTACAAGTTATTTTCTAAATATTTGAACATAATTTAGGTTGTTAAATTGAGGCGTGCTCCTCAGACTGCAACAAAAACATGATTTTTCCTGTAAAGGGTTTTGAATACCACCTATTATTCTGCATCTGTTCCTCTGATCCCACTTGTAATGCAAGTGTCATTAAGTCATGACAAATTATTTTGGTGCTAAGGAAGAATATTATATTAGCAACTCTGTTAGTTAAGAAACCATCAACCCTTTTTTTTAAAGCCTTCTGCTACTAGTCAACCAATAACATTTACTTAGAATTTCATCTTCTGAAAGAACAACTTTTTAATTAAATATACACTGAACTCAAAACACAACCACTTCATGGCAGTACTTCAAATTCAAATACATGTGACACAAAACCAGGTATGGGGTCCTTTCTTCCTTTTTCATCCAAAATATCCCATATCATCCAAATGTAAAAAACTGAGTATATAGTGAACACTATACAAGTCCTAGCATGATAATCTCAAGGAAGACTAACTACAAATGGAGATATCTTTACTCTAATGAAAAGAACACTGTAACCATTCTAATTCAAGATATAATTCTTATACTCAGAAGAATTCAAACTATTTAAGAACATGTTTTTCAACATATCCCCTATTTGCTAAATAGTGGTATTCCATAGAGGTAATCTGATACAAAAAAGCTTCACCTAGACACTGCCGTACAATAAAACCAGTCCTTCCTACTAAAGAAGACAAAAAAGAAAAAAAGAGTAATAGCCATTTCATGAAAGTACAAGGGATATATCAGAGCAAACTCGGGAAGATAAAAAACACAGATGCAAGTTCACAAAACCTTCTTCAGTTGGAAGGTGTTGAAAAACACAGCATTGAAAACGTTTAAGTCTGAGGAAAAAAATAAATTATGGAAAGGGGTTTTTTTTTCCCCACCACAGGTTTTTTTTCCATCCCTGCTTAGCCCTATCCTTCCTGAGGACCCGAGTGGACCTTTGTCCACTTAGAGCAAAAAGTTTGCCTAAATTGTTTCTAAAGACATTTGTTTAATAGATGTAAAAGTAGGCTGAAGTGAATTGCGTGGCCAAACATTCACCAAAACAAGGAGGAGAGGGGAGGCCGTGACAGTATTATATCCTTAATGGATTTTTCCCTATTAAATCATTCTTCAGGAGACTTGTAGTTGCCACTGCAATTGCTCCTAGGTATGTGCCATAGTGATTTACAGGGTAGAGAACTAAGTCCTGGTAAAAATATTTTGTTTAAACAAAAACTGTAATTATCCAAAGCTAAATACTTAAAAGCTCCTGCTCAAAAATGCACATAAGTATTAATTTTTAACATAAATATAAAAATTAATGTTAAAATTAAATACTATTAATAAATTTTTACATGGTTAAAACCTGTTCTAAAATTACTGCTGTTTTTCCAATTCCCCCAATCACCAGATTTCAGGTGTCTGAAGCTCTGACTGCAGAAATCATGAATCAATGTACCTTAGTTCCTTGCATATCCTTCACCTGTTATCTTTGATAAATTCTTCCTAATCATTCAGTGTCCAATGCAATGGTCTTTTGGTTAGCCTCTTCTGACAGTTCCTCTAGAGCAGGTACCATAGCATGGCTTCATTCCTGTCTTTTCCCTATCTCTTTATCGCTTTGAAAAAAAAGCTTTAGAAAACAGGGTCCCTGTTGGAATTTGTCTCAAAAGTAGAAAGATACTTGCTGCCATACTTTAAGTTACTTGCTTTCAAAGGCATTTTAGTGACTTATCTCTGACTTAGTAGATATCCAAACTTTATTAGTATTTTTCAGTTTCATATATGGATATAGATACACATATTACATATATTGCTCTATAGTCTGTACGTTTTTAATTATCTCATTTGGTCTGTAAAAACAGATTCTATATTTCCAATTCAACATCACTGTGAAGATATATGAAGCGATATATGAGTTTGCCTAATGTAATGCTTGAGTTGAAAGCTAGTGGGATTCTTACTAAGTTTACAAGTTGTTTCTCCTAAAACTAATCATTAACCTTGTCTCATTTGTAATACAATGTTCCAACTCCACGTACATGTTTGAATGGGTCACCACATAAAAACATTAATTCCTATTGCTCTTTCCAGCATGTATCTATCTATAGAAAGGCTTTTTGCAGAACATTCTCTTCCTGCCTTAGACTACAGTACTTTATGAAGCCAAGACATTGCTCTATAAAGGTTGATTTTAAAATGTTTTTATCCTATTTCTTTGTTCGGAATCATATTTCCATTTAATTTCTTATGATTTCTCTTCCACAGAAGCTTTTCTGTTTTTTATTGTCATAGTTCACTATAGCATCTCATTCAAGCTGTATTTTGATGAGGGCAATTTTAATATCTTGTGATCATTTTGCTTTTGTAATTCATTTTCATAATGGCAATGGCAGAAAGGAAAGAAGAGCACTAAACATGAAATTACAGTAACAGGATCTAAGCCTTACTCATAGCAAGCTTCCACTGATGACACAGATACCTCATAACAAAACATCTGTACATCTTGCACACTCCAATTTATTTTACAAGTATTCTATAAAATGTGAGTTCAGGACTTACACTATTGCCCACTGGAGGATAAACCTGCTCTGGATATAGACTAAGGGCCAGACTATTACTCAGGGTCAGGTCTTGCCGGATTTTTCCCCTAAGCAGGAAAAATCCCTAGAGCTGTACAGCCATTTGCCACAGACAACCATGACACCCTTCAGGTTATATATTCCAAGTTTCTCTTCAGGTTCCAAGGATTCACATAACATACATCAATACCAAAAATTCTTCTGAATTTACATTATTCCCTTGTTTCTGTGCTAGTATGGAGGCCATATACCCCAAGGCAGCAAAAAGGTCTATTCTAGTGGAAGTCATTAAAAGAACAATTACGAGAAAAAGTTAAAAAAAAAAAAAAAGAAATACTTACCAAAAACAGTTCTAGCTGGAACAGATTCCTTATTTATCCAAAACGAAACTTGAGAGAGGATCACGGTCATAATGCATGGGATATAGGTCTGAATCATGAAATAACCCATTTTCCGTCTGAGGTGGAAATAAACTGTCATAACAATATATTCACCTAAAAGAAAGAAAAAGAAAAATATTTTTCTGAATGTGTATAAAATTTGTGTTGCAGAATAACTGTTTCAGACTCTCAACTAGGCTTGTTTAAGATAATGCTATTCACATTACTTAACATGCTCAGAAAGATATGTTCTTTAGAAAAAGAATGAATGAAACTTTTAAACAAAAAATCCTAGAAATGATAGGTCGTTACAGTGCCATTCAAAAGCTGATGTCAAAAATATTGCAAGTGTACAGCTAATACTGGGTTTAATTTTACAGTATAAGCACGATTTTAAAAATCCTTCTGGCAGCTATTGAAGAAGAGAGTCCCAAGAGACAAGTTACCTACCTACCATAGTATCTATAACATCGTAGTACCTACCTGCCAAATAAAACAATAAGAACAATGATACACATCGAATGTTATGCAAGCATCTCAGCTTTTTACTAGATTTATAAGTCAGCATCACTATGATAATGAAACAAATACAAAAATCATTGAGAAGAATTAAAAACACTGTTTATCTAAAATGTTATCATCGTATTAAGCAAAGAGACAAAAAAGCAGTTTTACCATGAACTGAATAAACTGTCTAAATAAAGCACTATAGAATGAGTCTTTTGGGGACAGCAAGGAAATTTTGTTGTTAACTCATAATAATCAATATGCTGAGAAGTAAATTTCTAGTGTATTGCAAAATGCCATTTTATCTTTGAGTACAATACCTGTAGAGTAATACATCAAATATATTTGCATTATCTGTTTCATTTTGACCATCTCACAACACCTAAACCTGCTGATGCTTAGAAAATTATTCAAAATTTTAAAAATATTTTGGGAATGTTTATCAACACACTGCTCATCAGTGATACTTCACTCATTTCGGATGCCTGTAGTTACCATTTGCCTTATTTCTTACAGCAAAAATCAGAAGTATCTATTGTGACTATTGCATTTATGCCTATCCTTATCCAACTAGAGGGTTTTTATGGCTTTAATAACCCATTCTGTATGCTGTACTTCTATCCCAAGCTGTTTGCACTGCCAAACAAAGGAAGTCTTTTGCACATAATGTGGATACAGTGCTGAGAAATTACTTCCTCACCCAGGCATCCTCTTGACTCTTCAAACTGCATTTTAAGCAGTGATTAAATGCTCATTTTGTCCCTTGGAGTAATGATCTCATTCTAGCTTTCTGAAAGACTGTCACAATTTACTGTAATGAATCTGCAAATGTAAATCTCAAGGACAGAAACCTAATTCAGATTTACGCTCTCAGCCCTCAGTACATACCCTGTGACATTCAGTAGAATAACTTACAGAAAGAAAAGGAAAAAAGCTTTGGGCAATGTTACAGGTTAGTTTTACCTCAAGTTGATTTTTACTGACAAGATTCCTACCTGTAATAGATTTAATAGTTTCAGAGGATACCGTATGCCCAAGCAGGTCATACTGAACTAAACTGGAAGACTCCTCAGGAACTTCCACTGACTTCTCAGGTCCTTTTGTCCAGGTATAAATCATTTCACTCTTTGGATAAGCATCTACAACACAGCATCAGTTTGCATAAACAGGAAACTTTTTCTCATACCTTACTAAGAGCCCAATCCAAATCTACTGAAACCGAACAGTAAAACTCACATAAACAACTTTAGAAGATACCCTTCATGCTAAGTTATTCCCGAAAGCCACCCTCAGAGGAGAATAAACAACAACTAAGACTGTATGTCAAGTGTTACACATAAATTCACTTCACATATGAATGTGAAGACTAAATGCAAGGTCTTTCTGGATCAGCCCCTACTGGGCATGCAAAGTTTATCTTTATTTTAGCAATTGCTATCTAAAATTTTATTGTTAAAATACACTAATCTATAAAAAAGAGTATGTACAAAGAGGATACATTTTGAAGATTGGGTGCACATTTCTTTACAGAAAAGAATGATTACACTAAAAACTACAATATTTTAAACTTCTGTTTAAAATATTTGCTGGAAATCATAGGTCAGTAAAAAATTCACAAGAACACACAAAGAAACATTTTACATTTAAGGCAGAAGACATTACTTAGGGCTAGCATTCAATCCCTACACAGTCCAAACTCCTGTTAAAATTAAATCAAATCAGTCTTACATTTGAAATGGCTACATGTTATTTCAAGTTTCACTGCAGGAAATATCAGATTAGTGCTCAGCAAAATTTCTGCCGGCTGGTGATCTTGCCTGAAGAAATATGATGCCTGTGGAGGAGCCCCCACTATCGAAGTACCCCTATCATACAGCTGATACCACAGACAAATCTTGCAGCACCTGGTCTCCAGTCTCACTGTAACAGGCATTAAAAATTGTATCAGAGCAGTGTCTTTAATACCCCCCTTTAGGTTGACTACCCAGCTGTATAAGATAATTTATGCTAAGGAAAAACTACGAGGGTTCTACAGCCATTTGTGACTTCAGAGCTCTGGTGTCAAGGAAAATAGAATAATGTCCAGCTACTGACTACATCAGAGAGTCTAAAGCAGAGAAGTTAGCGACCAAGAAGTCTTGTAAGAGTGACAAGATAGTTAATGGACTGTACCAACCATCCCCAGGGGGTCTCAGAAGTCTCTGCTTTGGATTCATATCAGGGAACCATAACTACCTCCCTTGGTTGTTCTGCAGCATGTTCCAAAATGTTCCTTTTAGTCAAAGTTTGGATGTTTTGCAAAAATCTACATCTGATCTCAAAGTAGAAAAGTCATCTGCACTAAGATTCTTCTCACCAGTTTAAAAACTATTTATCTCATCTAAACTTGCCATGCAGACAATTACAACTAAGGATCAAATCTCTGCACATAACCTCCACATCTACCTTAGGATGCCAATGTACCTCCACTACCTGTACAGAAAGGCAAATAATCTGCTTCCTTAGGTGCCTTTTACCTGAATGTTATAAATTGAATTTGTCTTCTCCAGATAATCACTTCACTAGGTATCCAATTCCTTATTGAGAACCAAGAAAAACTATATATTTCAAGCAACTGTGTAATCAGAATAGTCAGGTTTAACATAATAGCTGAATCATTGACTGCTTTTCAGTTCTCTGGGTTTAATTTTTAAGGTCCTAAATAAAATTCCCAAGGAACCTAACAGGAGTTTTGTCTGCATAGGGATTGTGTATCAAGACATATCTGTATATATTCAGAAAGTCTAGTAATTGCTCAAAATTTACTTCTACTATTTAAATGCTGTATTTACAAGAAATTTCATAATTGCAACTTACAACTCCCAAATTTGAGAGGACAAGCATGACCATCCATGGGAAAATCCACTAATCTCATGGGACACTCTGCACTTATTGTAAGCCTATAATGGAACAAATTAAATAGTCTCTGGTTGCCATTTTGTCTGGGCAGTATAACGTTTGCATACAGTAATTGTTAGAAGTCAAACAAACATATTAGATACCTCATTGTGTACAGGATGGTGCCATTTCTCATTATTCTGAAGAGTTTATTTGGGGCTGTCATATTATGTGCAACAGACTTTTTTCCATTCCTGAAGAAAGTGTCAGGAGTCCACACCTTCGAGACCATCAGGTTGTTAAGTCTTAAAATTTCAATAGGGCCATCATATTTTAATCTTTTATCTATCCATGTCTGACGAAAGAAGACATCCATTGTATATTCCTGTATTAAATTGCAGAAAAACAAAGATCACGTTTGCATGTGTGTTTCCTGTAAAAGAAGAAATCCCTCAGGAGCAAAGAAACCATTAGTAAAGAAAATACCAAGTCTACTATATAAACATATTTCCACCAATTAAAGTAAGTGTCTTGTGTACTTCTTAATCGCTTAATTTCTTATATTAGTCATATCAATAAATTACTACACATTTAATCGTTAAGGAATAATTAATCTAATTAGGTTGCAGGAAGCAGGCAATTGAATTTGTAATCAAGTATATAACTGGAAACAAAATGATCTCTGACAAGAAGTGTCAACAGATTTTTAAAGAAAATATATCCATCAATTTGCTGCTGCTGTCTAAATTAAAAATAGCAGGACAAACAATTACTTCCACTTTAAAGTTAGGAAAGAAAAAATTTCATCTCATGGAAAGTAAGCTTTTAGCTGAGGAAAGCTAAATAAGTTCTTTGCCATGCCCACAAAACATGGATAATAAATTATATGTAGACTTGCATACATACACATTTTTTTAAACTATGTAACTATCCCATTAACCCTCAGAAAAGCCATACAGATGCTCCAACAAAACCATGCAAACAACTGCAGAACAACACGGGCACATCATGAGAAATAATATGTGAATGAATGGATGAAGGAAGCATTTCTCATCTCAGGAAGCTAAAGCATTTCACACAAAAAAAAAACATCCTGTGGCATTGAAAAAGGCAACATGGAAAGCTTTGAGTCCTTTTTAACTCACAGTTGTGACTTTGTTAAGCAAACAATGTTTTCTAACTTTGTTTCAAACTCTTCTGTATAATGTTACCATTGAAACTACTTGTCAGGCCATATCTATTTGCATTCGCAATGAGGCACATCTACTGGTGTAATGCATTTTAGGATTATATCTGTCTTCTTTTCCATGACTGTATCCTTCACTGTGATTTATAGTTAATCCATGAAAAGTGTCTTTTCTAGTGTCATGTCTTGCTGGTGACTTCATAGCTCACAAGTAGTAGTTTCTGTTATTAGCTTCTACGTGACAGATTTTGTAATGTAAGGTTTCAACCGCTTTCATTACGCTGGGTACCAAAGCAACTAAAAAGACATTCTGATCATCCCCTGTACTGAGACCATATCACACCTCACCGTTGCAGTGAATTTTCTGAGTGCAGCCACATTACATTGGGTCACTTATGGATACATTAACTAAAAAGTATTCCAAAAACAACCCCTGGATCCTTCCTGACTAATATAGCCTCCTAACTGAATAGCCTCCTAACTAATCCCTAATGATGAAAGGGGAAATATCTGCTGTAAAGTCTCCTTTTGCAAGTTCCTTACCTACCTTCAGTCCATGTTATCACTTCTGTCTTCTCCAATATAACTAGTAACTTCCCATATGCCACCATGTCAAATGCTTCAATGAAACCTGAGAGATGCCATGCAGCCCTCATTGTAGTTTTTAGGCACTTATTACTAGATTTCCTTAGTATTTTCAGATTCTTGTACCCCTTGTCACACTGACAAGCATCATACTGTACATGACAATCAATGAAGGGGTAAGATGCATTTCAACATCAGACTGCTGTCACAAATGTAGCCCTTGAAAAAATATTTTGCTATTGCATGCCTTTGCACATGATAGAAGCAAATCAGGTACACCACAAAGTGAATGACAACACTATATGGGAAGAAAATTACTACCCTGAAACTACCTTTTCCATAAACAAGTTCAGTTCAGCACACATATGGTTGTGTTACTTCCATAGGATTTCTTGAATAATTTATAAAAAGAGAAACTACTGTATGATTTAAGGGTATACTACTGCATTTTAGAAGTTGATGAGAGTTCTGCTGGATTTGACCTTGAAAGCAAAAGGCATTCAGGCCCAAATAACAGAACATGTAAATGTAACATTTCTCCTCTCTTACTATTTCATGCATGTCACTTGGACGTTCAATTTCTGCAGATAGCTATGAAAACTCTTATCAGTCAAACATTTGCTGAAAGCGATGCAAAAAGGAGCATAAAGATCAGCAAAGGGTATTCGTCTGAAATGAAAATGTCAACAAGTATTTGTGATGTCATTATTATTCACCTGAGAATAACACAAGTTTCAGAAATGAAAAGCAATTTCAAAGATATTACATTTTCCCCACAAGTAGACTGACTTAGACACTCCCTGGAAGGCCTGATCCTGCCTCTACACCATGAAAATCTGTTTTAAATCCTATGAAGCGAATTTCTTAAGCCAGCCAAAACTCACTGAAAGTGTGACCAGAATCAGGCCTGATGGATCTAATTATAACTTGTAAATTAAGCTGTTACTAATCTTGCCTAATTTGCATGATTGACAGAACAGTACAGATGAAGCATCCACTCCTACTGCAGTTAATGGTTTCTCAGAGCCAGGAAACGGCATTTGAATCTCAGAAATACATACCATTTCTACATCAGAAACAGGTCCAAAACTGGTGACATATATATCTGTTTTGACTTCAGTAACAGGACCTAATGTATGAAAAGGAAGTGAGCAAGAAAATTTGAATTTTGCAGGTCAACAATTCCCATAATGATCCTGGCGTGTGAACAGTTACCGCTTTCAGGGTTCTGTGGATGAGCAAGAGCAAAATGCAAACAAAGGTCAATTCAAGATAAGTCTAGAATAAGAAGCACTGCTCAATTACCTTTACCACATAAGTAAATCAAAAGCAGCATTTCCATGCAAATCCCCATTCAGCAAACTAACTTTGACCAGTGACTAAGAAAACTGATGCCAAAAAATTAAAAGGCTCACTGAAAATACCATGCTAATTAACAAAAAGCACTGCATTCAGGAAATCCACTTTCCTCATGGCATTTATTACTAATATTTGGTCCTACTGGTAATAACTGGACTACAAACATTAGCATGCCATGCACTGGGCAATTTAGTATTGCAGGATCAAGAACTGCATCCATATCCCATGATGTATTTAAGTGCTTTAATACTAACATTCAAAAGAAAAGTTGGATGTCCAAGCACTTTTGAGAGTCTGAACCTATGCCCACATCCTGCTACAAAGCCCATCTTGAAAGAGCTGGAGTTATTTAGGACATTGTTAAATAGAGGGCACTGAGTAGAGGTCTTGCACTCTCACAGCTGCATACGGCAAATCAACCATCAGAGAAAGCAGTTTCACTTTAATTATCATTTCCTTTACTACCTTGAAATTTCAGAGGGGCATTCACTCTACAGTTCCCCTTAAACCAAAGAACACACACACTAATATCACTGGGATTTAGGTCTGTTCCCAACGTAAAAGGCTAGAAAGCTGCTAATCATTACCAGTTGCTAAGATGATTCTGTGATCAAAGCAATAGCTAACAGTTTAATTCAGGTAATTAACTCACAGCATAAATTAAAATATTAAAAAAAAAAAATCTACTGACGGTCTTACCAAACAGTATCTGTTTGAAAAAACAGATATGATCTACAAATTCACAACCAGTTTCTAAACCCCTACAACTCAGATTTCTAAAGAGGATAAGTGGCTCACGTCTGTTAATTCAGGCTTTAACATAGTATTTGCAATCTAAAAATGAAAGGAGGAAAGACTCAACAGGGTTAGCAGCAGAAGAATATGTCCCTCTTGAAAAGAAAAAAAAAGTCACTCTTTACAGATGTCACTTTAAATCAAAGGGTAGAAGGAAAAAAACAAGTACGCAATGGGAAAACAGGGAAACTATACTTCTTGCACCTAGAATGAGTCCCAAGCTATGAACAAAAAATAAAATAAAACCACATAAAATAATTTTACTAAAGAATTTGCAAATTATGTAGGGAAGAACAGCTAAGAATTTTTCAACTAAATGTCAAAAAAATGACTGCTGGAAGCTAAGTTTCACAGACATTTTTTCAAGACATAGTCTAAGGAAAATTCACTGTACAAGAGTTGGTAGCTCAGTGGTCCTTGGAAAGTAGGATAGTTTGGCATGTCTGTCTCGAAGAGGTTTTAAGAAGCAACTCCCAGGTTCCAGATAACACACTTTCATACCACACCATTTGTTTTGCAGTGGGTTGCTCTCTGGACACGTCAAATGGAAGCTGCTCCCCTTTCTACAAATAAAAAAGTGTTTATTAGGTCAGGGAAATCCATGAGTGTTTGGATCATTCATTTTACTGACAACGCAGTCCAATGACATTTCCTGAATATAATTATTTCTGGAGAGCAGAAGAGCTCCAAGAGATTAGAAGTGAAGACATTCATCTACAGTGTTAGAAAATAGGAGAGAAAATAGAAGAGATTTAACTGCAACTGACCTCCCATAATCACACTACCACTGTAATTTATCTAGGATTGTTTTAAATATATAAATATTTATTTCACTTAAACTTGAAATATTTCTGAAATCAGTTCTATAGAAATGAAAAAAAAGTCATTTTCTCACATAGCTTTAATAAGAAAATGCAGGAATTACTCTTTGTTGCTCAATAATAAGAGAATGAAGAATATTGAGTGCAGTTCCTGCTAGAATCCCTTTCAGGAACTGAGAGCAATATTCAGTATTCTTTTATTATTGAGTAACAGAGACTAGTCCCTGAATTCCTTTCAGGAACTGCTTTACTTGTTAGTTCTAAGAAACTAAATAGGAATAGACCTGAAACAAACCCCCAACCTTTAACTGCTTTTCTTCTGATGGTATATTCTTTTCTTTAGCTCATAGAACACTGTAATTTTCTAGCCATACCAACTTGAGCAAAGGGACAGATTTTTCCCAGAGGCACAAGCTGCTTCTCCTCAGACACTGATTTCTTCTGTTTCATTAAACGATTACAGCTTCTCAGGAATCAGTGTTTAGAGCCTTTTTGCAGATTTGTTTTTTGGAGTTTCTCAGAAAGAAGGGGAAAGTTAAGACCAAGAAGCTAACCTCCAAATCTTCAAGCCTATGACTTAATGCTATTAGAAATACTATAGCAGCAGCACAGGACTAAAACTATGCTTGAGTTCACTCTTCAGTAACTGTTATTCTGTTCTCAAACATTTATTATTATGACCCATGAGAAAGAAGGAATCAGAAACTCTCAGACAATAATGAGGCCACAAAATAATGTTTACTTTTGGTTGCTTGCCCAACATGATGGCAGAAGAGTGACAAAACAAATGTTAAAATCACATTATAGTCCACTAGAAAAATGGCAGATGAATGAGTATCTAGAAATATTTTAGGCATCCTAACAGTTATCCAGCTAGTACTGACATACAAATCCTTGCTTTGCAGCCAAAACCTTTGCCAAACATTTCAATGTCTGGTAGGAGCAAATACAGCAGCAAGAGACAGTGAAGCTGATTATCTCCCTAATGCTTTCTCTCCAATTGCAGCCGTTTCATGCTCCACATCTTCCACCTACATTGGCCTTAACAGTAATAAAATGACAAATCTTGGATTTTCTAGCATGTCCCAGTACTTAATGCCAACCCAGGAGTATCTATGGCGACACCAATAACTCTCTCTTATTCTTCTTGTTCTAGAAGAAAACGTAACTCCAGTTGGTAACAATAGTGGGGGTATAAATAGTGAGTCATGCTGCTGCTTCTTTTTTAAACTATTATTAATAGTGGGAATTCCTGTCAACGAGGAGGTGATCTGTAGTCACCTAACCTACTTTTACTGGTGATTTAAACAGTCCTCCAAAATAAATGTGTTGCACCACTAAATCAGCTCAGGTTCTGCAAGCAGAAGATCCTATCAGAATCCCTAACACCCTATTACTGGCAATAAAATGCAGTGAGTTGTAAGAAGGCCAATTAACTTTGAATGTGACCATTTGGGCTTATCCCTCAATGGATGTTAAGTATCTATCCACCATAAATCTTTAGGAATGCTGAAGAACTATTTATAACATACCGTTGTGTATTTTTATGTCAATGAAATAGGAGGAGAGTCCTACACACTGCAGTGGGAACAGTTAAGTCTGAATCACTGCTTGCAAGATAATACACTTTAAAGAAGCTCAAGCAGGATTAAAAGCAACCCCTGCAAAAAGCCAGAATAGTTCAGTGGTATAGATGTTACATGTGGGCTGAAGAAGCGATGCCGGGCCCTAGCCCTGTGAAGATGAACATAAGACAGCTCTCCCATGCATTTTATGTCAACATATGGGTTGAACTGCAGCACAGCTTCCAAGGAAAGACTTTGGGCTCCATTAGTGCCGCGTCTCCATAGGCAACTGTCACTGCAGAGATCTCCACTGTATGTAAACAGTCAAATCCTGCACAGGCTTTCTGTGTATTGCAAATTTTGCCATCAAAAATCACACAACTAAACGGGAACATTAACAAACAAGTCTGTACAAAGGTTTCAGCATGCAAAGTACAATTTAAATGCTAAGTGCAGTTATTGCTGCTATTATGAGATCAGTCCCAGGATACATAAACCACATAAAATTGTATTACATCAGTTCCTACAGCTACATTAAAAAAAAAGTAGTTGCTACAGATTTTTTTTAAATATAACTACATGTGAAAGATTTGGTGCTTTCTCTTTCCAAATTCTTGCTTCCTGAATTGGGTTGACATTTTTTAAATGAAGTGAAAAAAAAAAAAAAAGAAAAGAAAAAGCCATCATATGAAGCATGTTCTCTTGTTTCATTTTATCAGAGAACAGTTGAGGACACCTGCTATAAGTAAGAATTCTATTCAGAAGCCAGAACAAGTAGGTAGGGCATTTTTAAAAAATTAAAGTAGAATTCAAAAACCTGGGCTACATTCTCTACCAAAAGACAACACAAAAAACACGGGAGCACACAATAACCCTTGTCTCTATGTACGTTTATCCATCAGCATGTCTGAACCTGAAAAGGGGAAAAAATACCTCCAGAAATTAAGAGATTACTGATTTTTTGCCTGTTTATCAGCAGATCATCTCTGCTGAGACAGCCAATAAGCTTGATACTGGTGCCAGTTTTCATGATGTGTACACCTGTCTACTAAGAACTGGACTATGAATATCAGCTAATTTTATACAGATCACTGAACAACAGACAGATGGTAATGACTTCAAGGATTACTAACCTGGGCCAAATTCAAATCCATCACCTACAGGTATCTAACACCATATCCTGTTAAGCTTTGAGTCATCTACTCTCACCAGCTGAGGAAGACTGGACAACTGCCTGAAAAAAAAAATGACCAGCTTCACTTTACAATGCTCACTTCAAGTCCATTTGCAATCTAAAAAACAAAAATAAATTACAATATCTATTATGCTGAGCAATGGAACCTTGAAGGAACACGTGAGTTCCTAGTAAGGGCAGATAATCATGTAGATATTTTTATTTTCTCTAAAACCAGAAAATTGTCTTTGCTCTTCAAGTGTATTCTGTGTTTATTTTCTGATTAAAGTCCTGCATTGACAGGAAATGAAACTCTTCAGAAATGCTGTTCATCAGCTGAACATCACACAGCCTAGACAGGGCTGAGAAGCCCTCTCCTACCCTTCCTATGGGAGACAATAACCAATATATTTAATTCCACCAAGTACTCAGGTGCATTTTCCCAGGTATGAGATCATGAGAAAGAATATGAAAAGAGAAAGGAAATAAAAAGGGAAATGAATGCACACAGTCCTGTTCCTTCTACTCATGAGTCAGTCTATGTGGCAGTTTTCAAAGAGAAAGCCACAGAGCTAACACCATTTCAGTAGCTGATAGTGAGACTCAAAGCTCATGCCAGACTCTACCTCACACAACCAAACAGAACTCAGGAAGGGAAAGGGCTTCAGCTTCCACTGACTGATGGGCAATCACACCACAATGAGCCAGTACCACACTGTGGGCAACACCAGCAGCTTGTGGTTAGCAGGTTTCACAGTCAGTCAATCTAAGACCCTTGGGCAGGAGGCAAGTCACACATCACCATCTTTCTTTGGTCTGGCCACACACTTGGCCATTAAAGGCAAGACACCAGAGATGAGATGTTCTCTAAAAGGCACAATTCATTAAAATGAGCAGATACATGGCAGCATGCAGTGATGCTGCCCTCATCAGCTTCAGTCTCTCTTTTCCTTCCTACTTCCCTAAATCCTGGCTTAAGTGTGATGAGATACTGTATCATGAAAGTTTCAAAGACACCATTACATTTTTTAAAGTTACAATCCAATACAGGTTTGAATGGGCTCTTGCAGGCTCTTGCTTATGTCAAGAGTTGCTCAAGTACAGTCTGAAACCAGGCATGAGTTTAAAATAGCAAATCAGACTCAGGCCTTTTACTTCAAGTGAATAACGCTCCTTTCAAAGACTTTGGAATTCTACTGTCACTTTGAAACTAATCACCAAAAAGGTAGCAAGGTGATTTTCAGAGCAAATCCAACTTTTTTAACTTTCTATAGTTTTCCTTCATGCCATACACAAAATTTTTAAAAGCAGATGAAAACTGGAGACAGGGTTTAACTGGAAATGCTTTTACTTCAAACTTTTACGGCTGAATCAAAATAGTACTGTGCTAGTACTCTTGAAGTTTTCCAGCAGATAATGCTTTTAATTGAGGACACCACAAGCGGCTTCTGTAAAATCCCTGTTTTTATAGAGTGGTTTTGACCAGGAGACCCACTTAGATTACAAATTGAACGCTGCAATTCCAGACAATGATATAACCAAGCATGCAGGTCAGGGAATGAACTGACTTCATTTCCATCACACTATTTTCAAACAGCCAACAGCATTACTTTATTCATTAGTCCCTAAATACCTTCCCTCTACTAAAATTCAAAACTCTTATGCATTTAAAGTCTTCCTGACAGCAGCTCTGAGGTTTTTTTTCTTTCCTACACAAAACTGCCTATTCTGCTTTGTTTCATTAAATTTCTAGGTGACATTTCTTTGCTTCTGTCTTGCATCTTTAGATTCCCTCCCTCCCCAACTTAATGAGAACTTTCACTTAAATGATCTTTAATAAGCTTTCTCATAAACCCTTAGTGTCTATTACACTAAGCACTGTGAGGTTTGGTAGTAAGTGACAACAACTTTTTAGGTTTCTGACATTCATAAAGTGAATTTTTAATGAAAGGTGTTAATTCAATGACATGGAGAACTTCATTCTTATATTAACCCTCAACATACGCCATGCTCCCATATAAGCACCACCAAGACAAGCTTCCATATACTCCACTGAGATTCCCCACTCTTCTAGGAGACAACTTCCACATTTGTAAGCATGCTCAAGAAATTTAACTTCTCCTCCATAACTACCACGGAGAATTTTGATCCAGTTTTTGGAAATCTCCAAAATCAAACATATTCTACTCACTCTGCACGCGAAGAATCTTAATCCATTGTTATTTGTGATAACTATGGAATATACCAGCAAAATTCAGAATATGGCTACTTCCCCAAGTCTGATTTTAAAGATAATTTGCACCAGAATTAGAAATATTTTCATTAATTTGAAGTTTAAAATCAGCATCAGTCAGACCTCTGTGATGCCTTTTGTTCTTAAAATAAAACCTCCATTTCATTTCAGGCCATGTGAAAACTAGACAGTAAATCAGCTTCAAGAAGAAAACAAAAGTAAGTATTCTACTATACTTTCCATCTCTAAATATTCCCATCCCCTATGACATTTTGTTTGCTACCTATGCTATAAACTAGCGAGTGACCCACTTTTAAGATATAAATCCCATTTATCATAAAGATTTATCAGCACAAAAACCCCAAAATATAGGGAAAAGTTGATTTTGATATTCTATATTTCAATAACTAAGCCATAGTTATTACTCTGAGTAATGTCAAAAAATAGAATTTGATCAATTGCAGAAATTTCTTTCTTTCCTTGGTTTTGTTGAGGGTTTTTTTCCAAAGTTGTTCCTCAAATCAGGTGAAGATAATTTTCACTGTAAGGAGCTAAGGAGGCAAGCATCATTTTCAAAAACAAAGTATTTTTCACCCATGTTTTACTTAAAAGTTCAAAACTCAAAGATGAGTTGTTTAAATCATACAAATGGTTATAAAGAAGGAAGAAGAAAGAAGCAGTACGATATCCATTTTCTGAAATATTCACCCAGAAGTGTTTTCCCCAAGCTGAAATCTGAGAGTTTTTTTCCTCCCTCTCTCATTTATTTTAATACTGCCAATATGAAAGCTCAAGAAGATACAATGAACTTTTTCTCCTTGATTCCATTTTGCTGAAAGTCTCCAATACTTACAGGGGAAGAAGTTCTACTCTTGCAAAATATTCTGCAAAGGACAACTGTATTAAAATGAAAATCAACATATATTACATATTTAGTAGTTGTTTAATTTTGGAAATCTGATAATGCCCATAAAGCATCTTTGCTAGATGACTAATTAGTTGGCATTCAACCTAAAATGATGCCAAACATAGCACATCTCTTGTACACGTGCAGAAGTGTCTGTAACCTCTCCGCAAAGACTAAACTGCAAAAGGCTATCAGTTCCCAATGATTTCTCTGGGTGTTAACAAATTTAGCTTCCTTCTCACTTAATGTGTAAGCTAACTTCAGAAGGCCTCGCTTATTCAATACACTCAAAATAATAAAAGAGTGATCAACGGTGCCAGGTGTTGTCCTCTAACAACCACGATCATACATGTGAGCACTGTATGTGGCATGTGGGGAATGTGTTGGTATACATGTCAGTGTAGATGGATCACGTGTATGAAGAAGGTACTTTCAGAGGAGGAAGAAAGTATTTCGCAACATAAACCTACGCAAGGATCTCATTCAATCTTGCATAGGAAGCAGCCTATAATACCCTTGTTACAGATTTGTGCATTATAAGAAGGGCTGTAGCATTTCTTTATAAATCTTTTTTTTCCTACTTTTAAATTTATGTTTTTAATATCTTCATTTCAGATTACAAAATATTTTTTTATTTTGCCCGGATTTTAATGATTTTTGGTTCCAAGTCCCTACACAGAAACATTAAAATCAATAAAGAATAGCAAGTCTGGCTGCCTCTTCAGCATCACAAAACTGCGTCTTAACAGCCTGGGGTATCAGAGGCCCCAAACCCCCACATGCAGATCACAGGTGAAGGCAAATTTGAAACTCCTCCACATCTAATTCCTATACAGCAATTAAATCTACCACTTCTAAACCAAAGCTGGAATTTCAGCACCTGTGGTAAAAAACTGGTGTGCTCAGGCACCCGAGCTCTGGTTTTCCCTAACTACTGGAACAGAACCCATCGAAGACCTAACCTCTTAAGCTGGTTAAAAGTACACTTGTTTCTATTAGGACCCGACCGCGGCATTTACAGGTCAAAAACTGTCAAGAAGAATCTGGATGCTAGACAGGACCCTCCATCCCCATGAAGCCAACGCACACTGCCTTCAGGGTTTATTTTTCCTCCAGCGCAGCAGCCCGAGCCCGGGATGTGGGCAGAGCAGCGAAGCGGGGGATGAGCCCGGGACCGCCCCAGCGGGGCCCCCACAGCCGGGACTGCGCAGCACCCCCGGCGCTTTCGGGGCCAGGAGCTGCCTCGCTGCCGGCCCTTCCCGGAGAGCTCAAACCCCGGGGCGGGGAGTGGGGACACACCCCCACGTTTTCGGTCAGTAACGGGTCGGACGAGCGGTGACCGCTGCGTCCCCCGCCCCTGCCCAGCGACCCCCTGCCCGCCGCCGTCACCGCGCCGCCACCGTACCCCCGAATCCCGGTCGCAGCCGGTTGTCATAGCCATCCAGGAGGCTGTTCAGGATACTGGTGAAATTCTCCGGCCACAATTTCTCCTCTTTTTTGCTCTGCCCGGGCGGCCCGGTGAGACTGCGAGGCAAAGAGGGAGCGGGTGAGCGGAGCCGCCGGGAGCCCGCGGGGGACAGCGGCACCGGGACCGGCCGCCCGGGGCCCCCCGGCGCCGCCGCCGGGGTACTCACCACGTCGCCAGGCACAGGCAGTGCAGGAGGGCGATGGAGAGACCCGAGGACATGGCGATGGCTGGCTCCTTGGCAGAAACCATCTTTGCATGCCATACTTCACGCCTGGGCACGTTAAGCGCCTCGTCCGGGGCGGGGAGGGGGGCGCAGGGCCCGGCGGGGGGGCGGCGGCCCCCGGCGGTCCCACATGCGCGGCGCCCCGGTTGCCAGGCGCCCGGCACGGGCGGAGGAGCGACTTTCCCCGCACCGTTAACTCTCTCGGGGCAACAGGCACCGCTCCCGCCGCGCCCACTCCCGCCCCGCCCGCTGCCCCGCGCTCCGCCCCGCGCTCCCCTCCCGGCCGGGGCCCGCAGCCCGCCCGCTGCCGTGCGGGGCGGAGGGTGGATGGGGGCGTCGCGGGGATGATCGCGGGGGTGATCGCGGGGGTGATCGCGGGGGTGATCGCGGGGGTGATCGCGGTGGCGAAGTCTTCGTTCGTCCCGATCGCCTCTGCTCCCGGAGGGGGGAACAAAACTGAGAGCGGGGGCGGGAGGGGGTGATTAATTCCCCGGCGAGGGGGATGTAGAAGCAGATGGGAGAGGAGCCGGGGAAGGAGAACAGGAGGGGAAAAGAAGCTCTGACTTCAAGGTTAAAACAGAGCACACCTTTGCAAACCAAATGGGAACGAGTGGGTTATCCCAGGTTTCTAAAAGCAAAAAATGCCAGAATAAGTGAGTGTTTTTATATTATATCTCGTTTTTTTTCTTTTTTCTTTTCTTATCATTCCTATAATTAGGAAACAAGATTTGGTGACCCAAAAAAATTCCATTATGCAAGGTCTAAGGGATTCTGCAAGAATTACAGTAAAATCCACTCAGAAGTGTTGGTAGTCTGTCACAGGCTATTGAGATGGTTGGGTGGAGTGGGGAAGAAAGGGGGAAAGGAGGAAAATGGGGGATGTTCTCCACACAATAGGTATTGGCAATAAAAAACTTGTTTTCCTGATCAAGTGTGCTGGAGAGACAATTATTTAGGTTTGGAAATCAGTGTGCATGTCAATTTTAATGAGGATGGTGAAGTTCATCATGCAGGGGCATGTTAGGGCAGGTATTGTAATTGACATAAAAAGGTTTTATTCATTACTTGCTACAGTATCTTCCAGCACTGAAATGCCTGACTATCTTCAAAACTACTGTACTCTTGAAATCTTCCTGATTGTACTTCAGAGCTTGTTCCAGCTAGGGTGCCCTTTGCTGATTCGTTTGAAAAAACAATTAAAGCTGTGCTTGAAATCCATTTAGCTTGCTGACGCTGTTTATCTTTCAAAAAACTCTGTCTAGGCAGTCAGTTCTGCTTCCAATTTTAAAAGCCCTATTTAGGCCTCTGCAGATTACTAGTCTGCTTCCTGAGATTCTGACAGTATCTTCATCTCCTCACTCCTTACAGGATCCTGTTCTGACTGCCTTACTGGCATGACAAATGCTCTGCTAAAACGTCCCAGAGTGGGGCAGCCTGGCTATGGACAACATGCACATTCTGTGCAGTATTTACAAGCCTGGACAATGCAGACGGTAGGATGTCACACCAAGGTCACTTCAGCTCCTGTAATGAGGCTCTGGGAGCAACCCATTTAACTCCACATACAGGTGAAAACCAGCATGACAGCCAGAGTCCACTGCCCTGGCTTCATTAGCAAACTGGTCAGGAACAACAGAAGGATGGATGCACAGCTCTTCAGGAGTCTGATTTCACTGGAGTCAGATAAATTTGTCTGGGTTAATCAGCCACTTTTGATTTTCTATAAAGTGTTGTGACTTGTTTTCCTGGACCAATCTTCCGCTCTAGCATGGCCTGTGCCAAGAGGATACTTAGAACTGGCCTCCAGGAAAGAACGTCTCTAGTTTTCTCCCTCACAACAAAAAGTAATCCCTTGTTCCAGAATACTGGAAGTATTTCTAAGTGAGGTTATCTCATCTAGAGACATCTCAGTAAAATTTTGCTGGCAGAAGCCAAACTCAAAAATTAAAGCGAGGGTAATAGATGGTAATGGAGAACTGGGCAGAATCCTGGTGGCTAGTCACAGACACGGAGCAAAACATGGCTCTAAAACACTGTCACTTCTAGCAGGTGCTGAGGAAGAAAGGAAATAAGACCCTGGCAGAGCCGCAGGCCCCCTTGTGTTTAGACTGTTTTATTACCTTCCACATATGTATAGACACCTGTGCAAACTGAAATGGAAAAGTCAAGTGGTATTCACTAGTAATGATCTCACCACATGAATGTCACGAGAAATGCTATCACACAACCCCCTCTCAAATCCATACCTGGCGTCAATAGCTCTGCTACAGGCAGAAATCAAAGAAACTCACTCCATTACCTCCTTTCATCAAATCTAGGAGCTGAGCTGGTCTTTGAATGATTTCTAAATTCTTTAGAACAAAGAATGATATTATTAATACCTTTTGCCTCTTCAGTACAGATAATTCAGTAAAGTAACCAAAGTAACATACAGTAAAGGTAACATCAGGTTACAAGATTTGTGGACATGCCATACCAGAGCAAGAAGTACTCAAGGCTTTTAAGAAGATGTTCATGTTGCTTTTTCTAAGAAAATGTAAACATAGCGCCCTTTTGTCACACCCAGCCTGCCTCAGGTTGTATTGGTGTAGGATCCAGGTGCCATATTAGTCCCTACAAGTGCTAAAACTAAATAAAAAAATCACTTTCTCTAAATCTAGAAAATTAATTCTAACATTTCTCAAATTTATCAGTGGTTAACATCTCCCTTAAATCCAGCAATAACTATCAAGAACTCCATAAGACTAATACTAAAACCAGAGATCATTGTCCTTGATATCTGAAAAACTGTGTCATTTGTAGATTGCTGAAGCTTTTACAAAACTAGGCTTGAAGGAAAGATAAACCAGTTAAAAAGAACAGTAAACAGTCTTGTAAGCCAGATGTATCACTTCTGAATATTTGTTTATTATTTCTGATATATGCATTGCTCTGGTTAATTTCAATTTTTTTTTAATTATAACTTAAGAGCTATTCTAGATTTTTTTTTTTTTTGCAATGTATTTGTAGTATAGACACACAAACTCCCAAGGTGCTTGTCTCCAGCAGATGTGTGCTGATTTGAAAAATACCGCTTCAAATGGTCTTTGATCTCTTCACAGAATATCTGGGTTATACCATCTCTCTAAAAGAACTTGGTGACTCCAAGAAGGATATAGTGGTCACAGGCTGGATTGATGGTCTCTGAAAGTGTTTGCTGAATTCAGCGTTTTCCCAGCTTCTCCAGCTTTTACCACAATTATTCCAAGATTTCTCTGAAGAAATCTCACCCATCGGGGACTATTGTAAGAAGGGACTATTTTTGCCAGGCTCCATATGCTCAGAAAGCACTTGAATTTCTTAAATAGATTTTTTTTTTTGTTACTGTCCCTATGCTGATGTATCCTACTAATGATTTTTGATGAAACAGACAATCTGGCCAAGCCTCAAAAGCAGTTTTATCCAGAGTTATGGATCTTCAAGTATAGCTTAATCATTTTTTATTTGTCACAACACACAGAGAAGCAGAAATTTTTTAATCACAATTCCCATTTCTATTTTACCATCAGATTAAGTGGAAACAGAAAGGAAGTTTGTTCTTTTCTTGTGGAAGACTTTATCTAACCTTTCCAGGTTTGGATTTTTTTCATTTGGATTTTTTTCCCTTTTGTAAACTATAGGCTCTATCAACACTACAGGTTATATGGGTAAATTTTAGGTTACATTCTTTTCCCCAGCAGATTTCATTATTCAGCTGATTTTGATATGATTTAGTTCTAGCATCAAATCTCTAAAGATTTGAAAGCCTATATGAAAAAGACTGTGAAAATCTTTAATGCCCAGCTATATGTTGCATATTTAAAAGCCTCTAACTTTTAGAAAAGAGACGATAAAACTGGGATCACTGCCAAGCGTCTCAATGTTTCTTTACTTAAATAGCTAAGTCATTGATTTCTTGGATTTTTTACAGTTTCTACCCATATCAATAGAATTTCTTACGGTCTTGATCAAACAACTTGTCTTCCCATACATCCTTTTTTAAAATCAGGGGTTAAGTTTCCATTCTTTGGAAAACGCATACCCCAATCCCATGTTTGGTAGATGACCAAGATAAGGTATGGATACCTTTTCTGTACAGCTAACTAAAGGGTCTTTCACTCCCCTCCACTCCTGCATCCCCACTGATTAAAGAGATCATGGAAATCTACAAAAAAACCACCTGTCTTTGGGTTTATCAAGACTTTGATCTGGAGTTCAGGGTAGCCTGTACTACCCGTTCAGGGAAGAGTATTCCATCAGTGGGGATACCAGGACACTGTGGACCTTGATTGCACCTCTAATAATGTGGTTATGTTTAAGGAGTGTGGATTTTGGGCATATCAGTTGCAACTTAAGTTCTGCTCTGGAAACAGTAAGACAGATGCTTAAGTTCTTTCTGGTTCTTCTTCCAGGCCAGGTTTCCCTTTCTGCTGTAGTTATAGTAGTTTTGTTTCCAGGTTCTTACTTCAGTATCTGATTGTAAAGTTTTCACCTACGTACTTCCTTCTCTCAAGAACTTAGTCTCGATAGATAAGACAAAGTAGGAAGTGGACACAATAAAGTACTATTATTTCTGTTTTGCTGGGAACAGAGATGTAAAAAACTTAAGTGGCAATGCAACACCACGTATGAAATGGAACTGCTTCCCATATAAAAAATTTGCAGCAGAACAGGAGCTTAATTCCAATCTGCTATGACCCAGGTCAGTTCTCCAATCACTACCTGATCTGTCTTTTCAAAGCACAGCATAAGCTCTGTGTAAAACTGAATCTTCAGCTGGCCCAGCTTTGTTTCACTTCCATGGCCAGAACTCCTACGAAACTGCAGAAACTGATGCTGACATGCATTTAGCCGTGTATTTTTTCCTCTGACATATGGTATTTACAAGACTGTTCTACAGAACCATGGTTATTTTAACACACATGTCCTTGATTGCTTGGAATAAAACTAGAAAATCCTTTGAGTACCAAATATATATATATATTTATATACACACAGACACATGTATATATTGCTATTACTGATTGTAAGAGGATTTATGTGGATTCTAGTGATTGACACATTGATCTTTAAGGAGGTAAACTGTGAGCTTCATATTTAAGACCTTTACACTGCAATGGAAATGTGTTTGTGGAAGCACTCACTGCAGGAGCTGCAATG